TTTGCGCGTAGGGTAGGATCGCAAGCCAATGCATGCCTACCACACCATCTACTTCGGACTCTGGATGAGCTACTTCCGCTCTGGTGAAATGCATGCGGTCTAAGGCCATGGCGCATGAGAACACCATTACTCGGCCTGCTTCGTCCATGACAGCGAGATCATTGCCCAGATGACTCCACGAAAGATGGGTCAAACGAAAGATTTCGCGGCCCTGTGGAAATTCGAGAGGCACGTTTCTTCCGAGATCCCATTTGCCAGATTCAGGATCTCGCGAAAAAATCTTCAGGTGGACAGAATAGCCGTCTGGACTTATGTACGCAACACAGCCATTCTTGGACCATGATATCTTTCTATTACCTGTTAGTGAAGCTGGCAGACTTGCCCAAGACTCACTTACTGGCAACAGCCGCTAGACGCTAGCTCGTCGATGCGCCCGTCGAGCCCTTTCACTGGCGGTGTCGTATTGATAGACTGTATGTTGACATGTTCTGAGTCTCCGAAGAGATCATCCACATCCATGTTATAACTTGCGCCGTCCATTGTGGTGAGATAGCTGCGCTCGGCGACAGGTCGGCTGAGAGGTGAGATCAGTCGAGAAAAACAAGAGGTGGGAAACAACCCCGCCAAGAAAGTCGCACGAGACAAACACGAACAGATGACGAGCGAATCGTCGGGTATCACAGAGAATACAAGGAAATGAGGCACGAAATTCAAGACAGAGACGGGCGTGGAGAGGGTCGAGGGTTGATGAGGCTGCGCCCCGGTTGTCTGGGATCAGTTGCGGCAGTAAGCGATGCAGCTAACGATGACTAGCGCGGTTCCATCTGGTGTGCTGTTCGTGAGAGCTTCGCGCACAATCGTCATCCCGGGCAGTCATCCTTCCCAGAATGCTGATGAAGGTTATCGCAAGAGCTCAGAATATACTGCAATCAGCTCAGGATGCTTATGCGACTCCGGGATTGCGACGGTCAAATAAGCGCATCGCGCCGATCTCTATGAACCTGGGAGGGGTTGCATGCGCTGTGGCTGTCACGAAGAACATGGCATCGTGCCGTCCAGTTGCAAGCATGACGAGCGAAGACTTGCTTCAGAGCTCGCTGTCGTACTCTATGTACACGGCTTAACATGCTTCTTCCACGCCTACTACTTCAATGATGCTGTCGTTCAGATAGTGCCATGTTCGGCGCAGCACAGACATGCCGCAAACGTAAACAGGTCGAGTGTTTAGGTTCTGTTCTTGGCAGACCTACCCGGCGCCCATGGTTGTCCAGGTCAACCAGCGCTCGCCCGTCATCGCATCCACCGCCAACCTCTGCACCCTTCCCACCCCCCTTCACCACCGCCCACAAACGCGTCTATTCCAGACGCGCGCCTGCCTGCCCTTTCTTCATCGCGCCTTCACGAAGCGTCACAATGATCTAGCGTACCTTCCCGATCTGACGGTTCTCGAAGGGGACCAAAACGGCAGCAGCGGCAGCACGGCAGCGACGACCGACAGCCCCCAACCTACGCCCTCCACACAATCACGATCTCCACACGCCCTCTGTACGCGGCAAATCTCGAACAAATACCCAGAAGTTAATGCGGAATTCCACCGTCTTGTTTAAGCTACAAAGAACATCGTGGTACTAGACGCGCCGGGTCCCTGAAAGCCGTCAGGCGCCTTGCGTTCGACATTGAACCTCCCTCGCGACACACGGCTGTCACTGCCTGTTGCTGTCCACCCCACAATCCCCACGGCGCTCCTTCACCATGGCTTACAACGCGCTAAACAACGAGCCCAGCTCGCCCTTGACCGAGATTTCGGATTCAGATCTCTCTATTCTTTCCCGGTCGCCCACTCCACCAGCTGAGCTTAACAAATCCTTCGCTCAACGTCGCGCATACATGTCCCCATCCTCCTCGCGACGCTCCTCCGCCAAGACATCACCCGCGCCCGAAGACATGCCTTCTCCCCCGTCCAGCAACGACGACAACCCGCGTCCAGTAAAGAGGAGGAAGACAGCAGAGCCCAAGGAGCGCACGGCAGAATACCTTGACCTCTCCAGGTCCGACGTCGAACAAGACGAGCTACCACAGCTGCAGCGCTTGCTGAGCGTTTTGCACAAGAAGCGCAAGATTGTGGTTATTGCAGGTGCAGGCATTTCGGTTTCGGCTGGCATTCCCGACTTCCGATCAGCTACTGGCCTCTTCAACACGCTCAAGAAGGAGCATAAGCTCAAGTCCTCCGGCAAGGACCTCTTCGACGCGTCTGTTTACCAGGATGACACGTCCACGTCGACATTCCACGACATGGTGCGCACCCTGTCCCAACACACCAAATCTGCGCAGCCCACCGCCTTCCACCATCTCCTCGCGACCCTAGCCCAAGAAGGGCGCCTCATGCGGCTCTACACCCAGAACGTCGACGGCATAGACACTTCACTACCCCCTCTGAGCACGACGGTGCCTTTGCCGAAGAAAGGACCTTGGCCCAAGACTGTCCAAGTACATGGCGGTCTGGATTACATGGTGTGCTCCAAGTGTCAGAAGGTGGAGCCTTTCGACGCCGAGCAGTTCAACGGGCCTAGCCCACCACCCTGCCCAAGCTGTGTTGAGAACGACGAGATCCGCCAAGTCGCAGACAAGCGCAGCCACGGCATTGGCCGCCTGCGTCCTCGTATGGTCCTCTACAACGAACATAATCCTGATGATGAGTCGATCGGTTCTTGTGCATCCTATGACATGCGCATGAGGCCAGACGCTGTTATCGTGGCTGGCACCACGTTGAAGGTCCCCGGTGTGCGGCGCATCGCCCGCGAGATGTGCAACATCGTTCGCGACCGGAAGGATGGAGTCACGGTCTGGCTGAACAACGACCCGGAGCCGATGGGTAAAGATCTCGAGGACAAGTGGGACCTAGTAGTCAAAGGTCCTTGCGATGAAGTCGCGCGCCATGCCAACATGCGACGGTGGGACGACCCCATGGACTATAAGACAGTCACAGAAGAGGATCTCAACAAAGTTAGGGAGAAGCAAAGAGCAGAGGTCATCATCGGAACTCCTCGAAAGCCTGGTGTCCTACGCAATGCAGGCCAGCTCACACCTGGACAAAGCCCCCGCATATTACCACTATCGTTTAACAAAGCGGAACCAGACACCCCGTCCAAGAAAGGAACGAAGAGGAAGGCAGACGCGAAGGCAGACGGGCAGATGGATCTGTTTGGCAAGCCCGCAACCAAAGCACCCGCAAAGAAGCCGAAAGCACAACCAAAGAAGGCTACAGCAGCAAGCAAGAGCAAGGCGGGCAAGAAGGAGCCGAAGAAAGAGGCTCCCGCCATCAACAACGTCTTCAAGGCTACCAAGGGCGGCGCCAAACCTACCGGCAAGCCTCTGGCCAAAGCATCCGATCCGGCCCTTACCATTATCGAGTCAAAGTTCAACGAGCAGACTCGGCTCAATCCGAAAGAGAATGCCAGTGACACGATCCACATCGAGAAGCGACGGACTCCATCAACCCCCAGGAAGCCAGCAAGACTGACCAAGATAAAGTCAGACTTTGTGTTCCAGCCTGTTTCGAGTGCAGACAGCCGCAACAACCACTCACCGAAACGGCCACCAATTGAAAGCTTCACACCCACAAAGGACCGTACACCCAGTGCTCAAATTCAGGAGGAAATGGCATACGCGCATGCGACGTCGACTACGAGCGATTCTCGTCCTTCATCCTCGGGCAGCGCACAGCGACACATTATTGAGAGCCCAACCGGCCCGGTACCCAAAAACATGAATCACCTTCTCTGCTAGCGAACTGCATTTCTCGGCGTTGGCGGGCTTTCTTTTCCAGACAGACGCCGTATCTATGTGCGCGGTGCATTGCATGAGAGGCGTTTGTGGTTTTACAAGTGTACAGTTGAGGTGTTAGTTGTACCAGTATTTTTCTCATTGTTGGACATGCATATCTTACCTTTTGGCTGCATGATACCCAGATGAACCCCTGGTAGAGGCAGATCGGACGCTTTGGCGTCCTTATTCAGCGTAGTGTAGTGGTTCCGACGATAGTTGAAGGCTTAGGCCTCTGTTGATATTCGTCACAAATGCGAGATATTTACTATTACCTGGTGTTGAGACAATCTATTGATCTTTGTGATAACAGTAACTTGAGCGAACTATCAGTGTATAGCTGCACCTTCCTCCCTTATACCTGCGAATGAACTTCTGTGCCTTAGAATTGCGCCTCCCTTGCGCGCCTTCTTAAGACTGGCGCCTTGGCGCTTGATTCGGCCTGTGCACGTTGGCTGACGACCATTTCCCAACCTTTCATTGTTCAAGCATCTACACCCTGTCGAGACAAAGATTTACCCTTTGTTCGAGACGGCATCGTTCCGCCATCACCAGTCCTGCAACAAACTCTTTCAATTGGAATAGCTTCGGTCGGCACCTCAAGCTTATGAACATCTCTACGCGCTGACGTGTCTTGAGAGATTTCAAATCCTACCCTTGCAGGACATTGCAGTAAGAACGAGCTGGAACTATCGGTCATGGCTTCACCACTAACCGTACGAAATTTGACGCCTACCACCCTCTCGATCCAGCGTGTTGAGCGATTTGAGGACCCAAATACGCTCCAGTCCAAAGCAAGCGGGTACTTCCTCGGTGCTCAAAGCACTCCATCCGTGGCACCCACGTCACCTGAACTCAGCAGCCATGCACAAAGCTTCAACGATCAAAATCTTGAAACCATCTTGCAGCCGTTCGAGTCGTATACTTTAACATTTGCAAGCTTGAAGCAGTCCAACGCATCTACACTATCGAATCCAACCCTCCGTCTCACCATCCAGACATCCAATGGTGAACGCCATCGCATTGATACGCACCCGTCATATACTCAAAAGTCAACGCAGTCGTTCACCCCGCTGTCCGCAGATCCCTCAACAACCTACAAAGCTCTCTTTCACCCATCGAAACCAGTTCCCCATCTCTCGATCCATGTGAATCACATTCCAAACTACTCTTCATGGATGGGCTCATTACCAGATGATCTACCTCTATCAGCTATAAGCATCCCCGGATCGCACAACGCACATACGCACTATCGAGCCCTCCCATCTGTTCGATGTCAGGTTCACGATGTCAAGGCACAGCTCGAGAACGGGATCAGATTCCTGGACATACGGGTACAGCCAACACACGCAACGGATGCATCAAAGAAAGACCTTTACCTAGTACACGGCGCATTCCCTGTGAGCCTGACAGGACCAAAGTACTTTGAGCCTATCCTAAAGATCTGCTACGACTTTCTCTTAGCCAATCCTAGCGAGACGGTATTGGTGAGTTTGAAGCGAGAAGGCGTGGGAAGCGCGACGGACGAGCATCTTGCCCGTGTTCTAGAGGAGCACTACATCACCCCCAATGCGCGCCATTGGTACACGGAGAACGCGATACCGTACTTGGGAGCTGTAAGGAGTAAGCTGGTTCTGGTACGGAGGTACAATGTAGCTCGGACTGTGGCTTCATCTTCGCGTTCGGATTGCAAGAATGGCGGCCTGGACGCAACAGCCTGGCCGCACAACGCAACCCACGCCGTCTTCCCGTCGCACTCTTCCGCACCAACATTCTGTCTCCAAGACTTCTGCGAGGTCCTAGTACCGGATATCATACCAACGAAGATACAGCATTGCAACGACCATCTCGTGCGTTCTGCCGCCGCTGTTCACCCCTTTCCTGGAATAACGACCGATGTCACGAACCCGGTACCGCCAGGTCCTCTGTACCTGAACTTTCTCTCTGGAAGCAACTTCTGGAAGAAATCCTGCTGGCCTGGGGCTATCGCCAAGATTGTCAACAGGGGCATGGAGGAGTGGCTTTGCGAGGGACATCACTTGGAGGCTCCAAATACGACACCTCGCCACCCGGAGGTCGCAGATGAGAGCGCCGAAGGTGTAGTGAGGAGGTCAAAAATCGGTGATGGAAGTACGGGTGTTGTTGTGATGGATAATGTGGGAGAGAATGGGGATTGGGAGTTGGTCAAGCTGATCGTGGGTATGAACATGGGAGTGTTGGCGAAGGTGAAAGCAATGGGGCAGACTTGATGGAAAACCGATTCGATATAAGATCACAAACACGTACATTGCATATCCAAGATCCTGGTCGCACTTACACCCCACCTGTTGGCTCGTGAGTGCCATGTGCAAGTGATGAACGGGGAGCGTCTGTGCATCTCCGAGATGCCGACGGAACATTTTGGCGATGCGCATCATGCATCTGGCATACCATAGCCCACGACGTGCGTACTATGCATTGCTCGACCCCAGCAAATACGGCTGTCAACAAGACAATCCGAAGATAGCCGCTGTCCAGCGCCAATCCTGAGTGTGACAATTGAGGTGGACCGGCGCATCCAACAATGTCCCTCCTCCGACCAACATGCGCATCGCTCGCGCGGCGACTGTGCACTGCACAACCGTTATCAGAGCCAACCCTGAGGTCGCCTTTACTAGCCCTCATACAGCGACATCGATCCTCGCGACCGCAATGTCGTGCCTTCGTCTCCACGCCCCGCTATCGAGCAAGAGTTATAGACACCCCGCAGAACCCAAGCATTCCCCAATCACGCAAGCGCACAGTCAGGATAGGTCCTCTACCCGAAGGACCAGTCAGTGAACCAACGATACATCGAATATTTGGGCGAAAGCTATCGGGTCACGACGGCAACAATGTTCTGCGGATATTACACCACCGGCGGACAGCAGGCTCGCTTGCCGACTACGGCGTGGACAATCTCGGGAAGCAATATACACACGTGAGCAGGGATACGGCATTGAAGGGCCTGGAGTGGTTGCGAGAGAAATACCCAATAGATGAGGCGCGTGCGGCGGAGGAATGGGCAGAGAAAGAGGCAAACCGTATAGCCTACGAGCTGTGGCTGGCCGACCCAGAAACCGAGTCCAAATACAAGGACCCCGCTCGCGCTTTCCGAGAACAAATGGAGAAGGAAGAGGCAGAGAGGATACAACAGGAAGAGGACAATCGCAAGATTGGCATACTGCATGCAGGCAAGAGTCAGTTTGAGCTCAACATCGAGGAGAAGAGGAGACAACGATTAGAAGAGATTACACGGAAAGCAGAAGAGAAGGAGCAACAGGAGAGAGAAATGGAAGAGAAACTGGCGACTGGAGAGTATGTACGTACGCCAACTGGTACGCAACTCATGAAACCCGGTCAAACAGCCTACGTCGACGTCTTTGGTCGCGAACAGGTCAGTCGAAGGAAAGAGGAGATGGAAAAATACAGCAAGGCTGCTCAAATAACGGATGCGAAGACGGAAGAAGAGCTACTCGCGCAAACCACACTTGTAAGCACCATCTCCCCCTCTTCTCAAATTGACACGATCACTAACAACAGCACAGGCGCAACGTCTCTACCCCATGTCCGCCTTCGTCTTCCTCACAGTCCTAATCTGCTACGGTTTCGCCCACTACTACCTCCCGCCCTCGCCCTCCTACCGCCTGCTCCCCGACCTCAGCCCCACAACCGCCACCATCGGCGCGCTGCTGGCCATAAACGTCGGTATAGCAGTAGCATGGCGAGTGATGCCCCTCTGGCCCATCCTAACCCGCTACTTCATGCACGTCCCCGGCTACCCGCGCGCCGTCCAAAGCGTCCTCAACGTCTTCAGCCACGTCCAGTACGAGCATCTCCTCGCCAACATGATGATGCTCTGTCTCGTCGGTCCCGCATGCTGCGACCTCGTCGGCCGCGGCACTTTCATGGGCACATACATCTCCGCTGGCGCCGTGGGTACTTTGTTCTCCCTCTACTGGGCTAATCTCGGCCGCGGAAATATTACTGCTCACTCCGTCGGTGCTTCCGCAGCTATCTGGGGTATCTCCGTCCTCTACTGCCTCCTCACCGACCAAGAGAAGCTTAAAATCCCTTTTGTAAAAGAGCAGGAGGTGGCGTTTTGGCCTAAGATGCTGTTGGGTGCTTTCATCGTGCTTGAGATTTTCCAGTCGTTTAAGAAGGGTACGTCGACTGCGGATCATGCTAGTCATTATGGCGGCATGTTTGTTGGGTTTGTGACGGCGGGGTATATGCATGCGAATGGGTGGAAGGATAGGCCGCGGTTTGTGGATAGAGAGGGTGGCGTTGTTGAGAAGGGGGTGCAGGAGAGGGCGGGCGTGGATGGGAAGACGGTGGATGTTGGGGCGGTTGTTAAGGACGTTAAGGAGAGTTTGACGGGCGGTGGGAAGTAGGGTGTCGGAGTGTATGTATGGGATGGAAGTGTGGTATGTATCATTATACCTGTACAAAAAAGAGCCTGACACGATACGACATAACACAGCCAACGTTCAACCATTACTTTACACGTCAGGGAACATGTAAACGGATGGGTGCAGTGACGGAGGCCCTCTCTATGCTAACTCTCAGTTCCTACTCCTTTCATACTCCCAGTCCAATCGGTCATTTTCCGCTTATGCTCAGCTAGAATCACACAAGACAGCAGCGACACCACATCCTTTCGAACAACAAAAGCTTGGTATTTACCTCCCAACGCTGTATCAGCGAATAGCAAAGCCCATTCCACCCTCCCTAAACAGCAGGGAAAACATAAACACCCTCCCGCAGCGCCATCTGCACACTCGGCACAGGCTTAACATACTTCCTCACACTCTTCACCGCATCATCCAGCAACATCGCCACCAAATTCCCAAACACAACACTCCCCTCCGCATTCAAATGCGTGTTATCATCCGCCTTGAGATTATACGTATGCGCCTTCTCCGCTCCAATTGCGTTCAAATACGCCGTACTCGCCGCGTTCAAGTCGATGATATCGGCTCCGCTCTTACTCGCCGCTTCTTTCGTCGCAGCCACCACATCCGCAAGGTTTAGTTTGATCTTCCCGTCGGCATCGTAGTTGCGTCGGCTTAAGGATGTAACGAGAATAGGCGTCGCGCCCACATCCCGTACTTCTTCTACATACGCAATGAGGTTGTTTGTGAGATCTGCGGCGCTGATGTTTTTATCGGGTTTCTGGTCGTTGTGCCCGAATTGGATGGTAACGTAGGGCGTGTATTTGCTTGAGACGTTTTTCGCAGAGGATAGTACGGTTGCCCAGTCGCCGCCTTGCCGGAAAGACACGGTTGTTGCGCCGTTGTGGCCGTAGTTTGTGCCTGAAGCACCGTTTTGGAGCGTTGTGGTTAGGAAGCCGGTGCCCCAGCCGCCGCCGCCTGCGGATTGTACGGCTGTTGTTGAGTCGCCGGCGAGGAGGAAGTAGGGTGGTTTTTGGGCGCTGGGTTTGGGTTTGGGCTTGGAAGAGGGAAGGGCGGATGCGGTGGCGAGGAGGGTGAGGTAGGTGAGGGTTATTGGGAGATGCATCTTGATGCTATTTGGCTCTGCCGCTGTGAGATAGATTGAATGGAATCGCAAATTTCGAGCTGCTGATGGTTTGCCTGCCGGTTTCGATGAAGGATGCTCATTACTTATATACCCATGAACTGATCTCCTCTATCCCGACCTCACCTACTTTCTAGCTGACGGTTCTCCGGAATTTTACCCCATCATTTCCTTTTCGCGGCTGATGGTCGCTGCGGTAGGGTAGATAGTCTGGGGTAGCTTGCAACGTTCGTGTTGAGACATTTCCACCAATCAGCCCCTGCTGATGCTCACAGGCACGTCATGGGTGCTGTATGGTGGAGAAACACCGACGATTTGGAAAACAGGGATGCATCCGGGTAGATGCACGATTCCCGTTGATCCGAATGCTTGCGCACGTTATTTTCGTAGATGAAGGGGTAGTTGAGCGCGTGATTAGTGAACCGGTGTAATTGGAAGCGTAGAGTTCCACCCTAAAGCACAGGGTCCGGTGTCGGCCCGGTACTGTATCTGGGGATGCATGAACGCGGCAATCAGGTACAAAGTCGTCGACAAGAACCTGAGAACACAACCTGAAAGTATCGCATTAAGCGATATGGATGCGCGACCAAGAGATTCGGTGAATCAAAATTGCTGCTTCAGCGACAGCGTCCTCTGTGACTGTGCGTCGCTCTCACGAATGCTCACGTGCGTTGTTTTCATAATGCCCGCGCATTGTATCCTGTCCTCGAGTTCCAGGATATGCCGCTCGCTCTCGTCGTCTCCATTACTGTCCAGCTTCGTGCGTGCCTTGGAGATGTAGTTCGAAGAAGCTGGATAAAACTGGCTGGTATTTCTGCGCGAAACACCGAAGCTGGTAGCGTAACCTGCAGGCAGGAATCTTGAGAAGAGACCGAGGATCGTTATTCGCAGCGGCGGCAGGTTTGCGATGATTATGCCGACGCAGACTTCATTGATACTGCAGATACTGAGATCGATGGCGTCCCACATCGGCTCCTCGGATCGAAGGAACTTCATCGTGATGAAGAGTTTCGCGATGGAGAGACCGGTGCCACTTTCTCTGGTCAATGACAGTATCTAGGATAGTACAGGAGTTACTCACACAAGTGCCAGTAGGAATACGATTCTGACGCCCCATTGCGTTTGCTTGCTGAGCTGGACGTGTCTCAGATACACGATTGGCGCAGCAGCATATATCTACCGAGTATCAGTCTATGAGTATGGAAGAAGAATTCAGAATACTTACCAGATCTGTAAACACGTTTGAAGCAATTTGTACATACGCTGTCGCGTCACTCACAGCTTCTGGCCAACACTTCCCTTGTACGGACAAGTCCCACCGAGAATAGTAGGGTCGGCAGTACGCAAAGTGCAGTATTAACATCATGACGAAGTTGCAAAGCACCACGACGATGACGGATACCCATATGAGAACTCGGTAGCTGCGCCCAAAGTCCAGTGCCATGAGGTATGCGCAGATTGAGGCCTTGACCAAGAACATGGCGTAGACGTTCAGACATTGCGTGATGAAGATCAAGTGTAGTTCTCTGGATGTATTCCCGGGGACAGTCCACCATGGATCTGCCATCAAGCGACCCTGGCCAGCTTTGGCGGCGAGGACGGCATACGGTATGCACGCTATGAAGTTGAGTATCTGTATATAGTCAGCGTTGTGTTACCCCACTAGCAAGCTTTCAACATACAACACCTCCCATCATGAGCCAGTCGCTCAGTCCAAGCCACGGCTTCATTCGGAACCGAATGGCGATGCGCCAACCTGCTATTAGTGTGCACAGTGTTGCCATGACTGAGCAGGTCACTATGAGCTCTCCTCCTCGATTGGGCCATTCTCCCGTCGATTTTGGATCTGTCATCGCGAAGGAGCGTAGACTTCTCCGCAAGGAAGTCACTGTGAGGTGCTCATAAAGTAGTGATGATGGGGTGTTTTGAGGAGGCGGGAACGGGTAGCCAGGAGTGCATGACTACCCTATACGATAGCGAGCTGTACGACAACAACCAATCCAGTCGTACGAAATCCTACCGGAAGAAAGTCTCCTGCGAGGGTTTGCATGTAGGAACCGACGCCTGATCAAACCTGATCAAGGCCTCCCTTCAGCCACTCAATCTCGCGCAGCTTTACATGCCAATCACCCTAGATTATTTCTGTATAGGGACATCGCCGACTGCATCACGCACTCCATCCCACGGTGCCGGCACACTCTTAACCGCGGCTCCTTGATACATGCTCTCATTCGCGGGAACGACCCTGGAAACGGGCGGGAAATACACTGGTCGAGAACGCTAAGGAAGGACATGCATATCTGCATCTTAAAGTGTATGGAAATCTTTGACCTTTCGAGAAGTCTGTGCTCATGCGACTGCTGTCTTAGCGAAGCCATCGCATCGCTCAATTGCCGTTGCAAGGGTGTGGCGGAATCCTGCAGACGGGGAGTTAGCCTATCAAGGCGACATAGGGGAGGCCATATGATCTAGTAGTTATGCTCCACGCCCGAAATAAGAGGATGTCGTCGTCAATGAGTGCTGGAGCACCATGCGCCAACAGAGAATCGCAGTGTATACCTTGCTGGGTTCAGGCCGGTCTGAAGGCGACATGTACCCCTCTTACTTGCGCATGACCTTGTAAACGTGAGTGAATTGAGCAGGAAGTACCTCAGAGTATCCACGCGGGTTTGCATCCCGCCCCTAGCGAGGCGGCTCGGTTGGTGTTCTGGGACGGCATTTGGCTCCGCGAAGGTGGGATGTCACATGCGCTATGCCCGATTGAGCGTGGAGAGAACTCCCGGGATGGCAAACGAGGACCACGCAGCATTCTCGCTGCGCAGCTGCGAAATAAACCTCCATGAACCAAGACACGAAAGACATCGCCGTCGCTATCAACAGAGCACATATTCGTAACTTCGCGACTCCATGAGTCAGATCGTACCGTAGCTTCCGTTGCCGGCTGCGCGTAGGAACGGGCCTGACAAGCGCCCCGCGTACCCTTATTTCCACGGGGTTGGCACTACGTCCCGTTCCCATGCCATTGATGTTCATGACTAGTAATGTACCGCCTTTTCGATTACACATCAGCGTTTTTTCCGGCGTGCTCCCTCCGACGTTTGACGCACGCCATGTGTTGACCCGGCCTTTTGCCTCAATCTATCGCTCGAAGGCGCAGGTCCTTAGCCATCCATGAGAACCCACAGTAAAGCCGGCAAATCAACATGCGTCCGAATATCGATGGAAGCCAGGGGTCTACACGTCCAGACCGTACTACGCACGTCGATCTCTTAGCAGCGGTGCGATGAGAGCCTTTAAATCGTTGTCAGGAAGACTTCATGGTTTCTTCAGCACGCCGTCAATCCTTCAGCTTCGCAGCCAGCCGTGATCCGTACGGGTCAGCAAGCGACTTTGGTTTTGTGGTAATTCTCGTTCATCTTATACGTAGTCCGACATGCATTCATTCATCGTTCCTTCGTTCTTTGGCGCTGCGGTGTTGACAGTCGCATCAGCCCAAACCACATACGACTATGTCATCGTTGGAGGAGGGACGACAGGCTTGGTCGTTGCGAACAGACTAAGCGAAGATCCGAAGAGTGAGTACCAACAGTTACAGAGGTGCTTCAAGCAATGAGCTGATAATTCTTTACAGAGACGGTCCTGGTCATCGAAAATGGCGCGCTCAGCAATAGTACCCTATCCAGCATTCCCGGCAACTCGGGTGGTCTCAACCTCGCTGCGATGTACGACATCTACAGCGCACCTGTGCCGAATCTTGGCAACCAAACTTTCCTAGTAACGGTCGGCAACGTCGTCGGCGGCGGTTCGTATGTGAATGGAATGCAATTCGACAGAGGTGCCGATGCTGATTATGACGCGTGGGGCCAGCTCGGAAACAAAGGATGGGATTGGAAGGGGTTGGAGCCATACTTCATGAAGAGTAACGACTTCGATGCGCCTTCAGAAAATACGACTAAGGCATTTGGTATCACCTACGATGCCAAGGCTTATGGCAGTGGCCCATTGAAGGTGTCGATACCGGACTACCAATTCCCCGATATGAAGACTATCTATCACTCGTGGGATAATGTCGACATTCCACACCCACAGGAGGGCTTCGCAGAGCCTGTCGGTCACTACTGGTCACCAAACTCAATCAACAAGGCGACCGCTATGCGTAGTACTTCGCGCACTGCGTACTACGACCCCATTGTGTCGAGGAAGAACCTGAAGCTGTTAACCAACACCCATGTCGATGAGATTACATTCTCGAAGAGCAGAGTGGGCGCCTTGACTGCCACGGGCGTCAAGTATACCCCAAAAGACACCAACAAGCAAGTTAAAGTCATCGCCACGAAAGAAGTCATTCTGGCTGCTGGTGGCGTGTTCACGCCACACTTGCTTATGTACTCTGGTATTGGTCCAAAGAACATTCTGACAGCTGCCGGTGTCACGGTTAAGAAGGTAAGCAAGTCAACCTCGGAAAAATATGACAGGTCTGGAGCCTACATCAACGTTAGGGCAACTACTTTGCAGGTTTCCATGTTGATGTAGGCTGCAGACCTGTTCAGTATTTTCGTTGTATGAGATGTAAGGATGGTGGTGATATCCCTCAGGCCTGCGCTGACATTTCCTAGGATCTTCCAGCCGTGGGCTCAAACTTCCAAGATCACATCGCCAACTACATGAACTTTGACCTCCAAAATCTGAACCCAGAGAACATGAACGCCCTCAGCACAGACTCAGCCTTCAACCAAACAGCTTACGATCAGTACCTGAAGTCGCGCACCGGCCCATACTCTGTCGGCAAAGCCAACGGCCTCGTCTTCATCGCACTACAACACTTCGATTCCTCGTTCAAGAAGACTGTTGCCAAGTTACGATCGCAAGTAGCTTCCAAATTCCTTCCCGAACGCTACGCAAATGACAAGAAGCTCCTCGCCGGCTTTACGAAGCAGCGCGACATCCTCGCGAAGCAGTTCTCCGGCACTGACGCCGCCGTAGGCGAACTTGTCATCCAGCCATGGGGTTTCTCTGGTATCGCGAACAACAAGCCCCTCTCGCGAGGCACTATCACACTCAACAATACACATCCAGCCGCCTACCCCATCGTCCAATGGAATACGTTCCAGAACCCTGTTGATGCGGATGTCATGGTAGCCCTTACGCGATACAACCGCGCACACTGGGCGTCCAAGGAACTGGCACAATACAAGCCGGTGGAGACGGCTCCTGGCCCCCAGTACCAAACCAATGAGGAGATCATCCAGGGCGGTGTTGCCTCGGGCTCACTACAACCAACATTCGCGCATCCCAGTGGTGGGTGCAGTATGATGCCTGAGGAGCTTGGTGGTTGTGTAAGTGATGAATTGCTGGTCTATGGAGTCAAGGGATTGAGTGTTGTGGACGCAAGTATCATTCCGATGATTCCTGCGACGCATCTACAGGCCACTATGTACGCGATTGCGGAGAAGGCGGCGGATATCATCAAGAAGAGAGCCTAGAAGAGGGATAGCTGGAACGTATCCGAAAATGTATTTACTCATGTCTTACAATGAGCTTTCAAACTACACTCGTAAAGGAACCCAATGTTCGACTCAAAACCGACCGTCTTTAGGGTTTGATAAAGCCAGATTTCGCTTCCGCACAAATAATCTCAACCGCCTTCTCGGCGAAAGCGTAGACAGCTGCCAAAATATTGCCTCGTGGTATAATCGGCAAAACACTAGCGTCGCATACCCTCACATTCTTCGTTCCGTATACTATCAGCCGTTCGTCAACAACACCCCCTAGTTCTTCCTTCATCATCGAACAAGTGCTGGAAGGATGATAGTTCGTTGCTGAATTGATAGGAAGAATCCCCTTCGCATCTTCAAGCGATGTTACCGGGTGAGGAAAGCTTCGCGGTAACCGCCTTCCATTCGGCTTTGCCATGGCAGTAAAGACAGGCTTTTGGAAGAGCCTCTCAATGAGACGGAGGTGGCGAGCGAAGATTTCCGTGTCAAGAGGATGAGAGAGGTAGTTGAATTTGATCTCTGGCTTGAGTGAAGGATCAGGGGAGATGTGACAGCTTCCGCGCGAGAAGGGATGCGCCAACATAGCAACAACGGTTATGTAGTTGCCATCGACCACAGATGGCGTGTTTGGAGGCATTGATTCGAGGTCTCTGTGACGCTGTGAACGCAGCATGAAGGTCGTGGCTGTTGCTTCGCTAGGGCTCTCGACGGCCTTTTGGATGACGGAATACTGGGCTTTTAGGCTCGGTTTGCTCTCTACTTCCACTGAATGCTTGACCATCGCAACGAGTTCCTCCGTCTCTGAGTGAGTCTCTAGTAACTGCAATGGTGTGAAGGCAAAACTGTATGCTCCTCCTTCCGCCAATCGACCCGTGCGGCTTTTCCCGTACTCCTCCATTGCAGCCCTCTGCACCATAGGGTCTCGTAATCCATCGTCGCGAGTTGGAGTGTCGTCTCCAGCTTCGATTGACAGACCGCAGTTTAGATGGTCCTGCAAGTTCTCGCCGACGCCTGGCAGCTCGTATAGAAGCGGGATATTCGCGGCCGCGAGGACGTCTTTGGATCCAATACCTGATCGTTCCAACAGCGCGGGAGACTCGAATACGCCTGCGCAGAGGATAATCTCTCGACCATCGATCAGATACTCCTCGCCTTCGTGTGTGAAGTGAACGCCCGTGGCATTAAGTTTGCCTTCGGCGGTCAACGCCTCGTCAAAAGCAATCTTGTCGACCTTT